GCGCCTCGGCGCCTCACTTTGCCGACATTATAAATAAATTATTATCTCTTTCTAAAAAAATAATACATAGTGAAACATTTTTTCTCAGTCCAACTCTGTACGACGAGAGAGTTATAGTCTCTGATTAAGGTAAGCTTGCTGGATGAGAAAAATGAGAATTGTCGAAAGTTCTTTGCTGTGTTATTATTAAGAAACAACGAGACGCGCACGCAGTGCGCGTGGAAGCGGCGGAATGAAATTTTCTGAGGACGAGAGGTCACACGTCGCGGGTGGGGAAAAGGACGACCTTTGTCGGTTCGCCGGCTGATTAGGTCCCGTGTCCTTGACCGCTTTAGCCGAACCGGCCGATATCAATTGCCAGTGGCGCGAGCGCGGCTCGAAACTACGTCGGCGTTCAAAAACGACCGAAACGCCGCGCCGCTTCCGTTCACCACGGAGTATAACTCCGCCGAGTTACCGTCGCGTGTATTTGCGCTCGCGTTTACCTGCTTTGACTTTTGGAATGTTTCGAAATGATGTTTCCGAGTATTCTACAGGGAACGATATCGTGGAGGGGCGAGAGAGAATCTTGAAAAGTGAGCGAGATAAGTCTCAGGGCGTGTGCGCGAAGGAGCCCGAGCGACGAAGGCTTTAAAAACCGACGGTACTAAACGCATTATCGGCATAACCCACGCGCACTTAAACACAAAGTTTCCCCCTAAAGCGGAGCGTTAAAAACGTAACTCGTCGCGCAAAAAATAGATCGATGATCATCGATGACCGACGGAGAAGTGGAAGGCCGGGAGAGGGGGGGTGTCTGTGAGAGAGGCGGGTGTGGTGCTCTCGATACCTTCTCGTGGCCGCAGTATCGGACCTTTGCCAAGGGTGCAAAGGGCGCTTCATCTTCGCCGGCAATATCGGCCGACTGTTTCGATCTCCAGCTCCCGCCGCGGCGGGGACGGGAGTGTGTTATCCAGCGCGCGGCGAATCGACTGTTTGACGAGAGGCTCATCCCGATCGTAAACAGCGCTATTATACCTCGCGTCGCGGATTCACGGGCCACCACCTTCTGACGATGACGAC